CTATTTGTAGCTCGTGTCACCAAGCGTCCCACAGTAGACAAAGCTTTTCTATGCCAACCGTACATGCCGAATCCGAAGGGTAGCGAGCAGTGGCAGGCCGATTCTGGAGCGAGCGCGATGATTTCGAACCAGATAGATCACATGTACGACATTCGCCACTTGGGCCAGGATGAACAATTTATTCAAATTGGAGACTCGGCTCTCATCAAGGTTGCAGCTGTAGGAAGCTTAGACCTTCGGTTCCACCAAATCGGAGCCGACGGGAAACAGGAAGACATAGACATTACTGTGCCAGAAGTTTTGTTTGTGCCCGGGTGTGGATTCAATCTTTTTTCGGTTTGGAAAGTTTCGCACAAGCATGAAGTCCGCATAAACCCTAGCGGAACTCAACTGCTGCACGGTAAACTACGATTCATCCGTGGAGTGTCAAGTGACTCCCTTTTCGCCTCCCGCCTTCCCCACAAAGATGTGTCTCAAGTGAATGTTGCGCGTGAGAGTTTTCTGGTGAAGCCGGCCTCTACTGCCGAGAGTAGTGACCACTCGAGAGAATGGGCCCATTCCTGCATGTTGAACATCTTTACGCATGCCCAGAGATCTGAAGTGTTGACTTGCCTTCTGGATTCGGATTTTGAACCCCCCCGCGTGACGGATGTTTCGGCAGAATCCTCTGCCAGGATGATAGATGTTTGGGAGAGTGCTGAGTGTGACCGTGCTTGGGCTGTGTTGGGTCCGGGTAAGACGCCTTTCCATGTCGGCAATGCAACAAAGGTTATGGATGTTAACACGTTCCACAACCGTGCCGGCCACTTGTCCGAACCAATCTTGAGGTTATCCGCAAAACAACACGGAATCACCCTCACGGGCACGATGGACAGCTGCCGGTGGTGCTTGCCGGCGCGGGGGACGAGGGCACCGGTGCCGAAGCAGGTGGGCGGATACCGCGGCAAGAGGGCGCCGAACGACATGTTCCACATCGACATGTGCGGCGGGTACACGGCGACCATCGGCGGCAACCACTACATGCTCTTCGGTGTGGACGCCGCCACGGGCTGGATCGTCTGCTATGCCATGCGGCGGAAGTCGGAGGCGTTGGCGGTCTTCAAGCGCATGGTCGTGGACGCCGCCCACAAGGCTGGCACCGCGATCAAGTGCGTCCGGGGCGACTGTGACGCCCTCTGGACCAGCGGCGACTTCAAGGAGTTCTGTGCCAGCATGGGGATCGCGATCGAGTACTCCCCACCCGGCGTGCAGCAGTACAACGGCGTCGTCGAGAGCGCCATCCAGAGGTGCCTCAAGGTCGGCAAGGCGTCTCGCCGCGCTGCCCAAGAGATACTTGGCCCCGCTTGATTTTCTCGTATCCGCGGGCTGAGCGTTCGGGGCGACGAGCTCTGGGCGGAGTCCGCAAAAGACGCCGCGCAGAAGCTGAACCAGTCTGCACCTCCTTCCAACGCAGGGGGTGCCTCGCCGCAGGAGCTCTACACCGGCAAGAAACGACCCTTCCGTTTGGTACCGTTTTTCCAGTACGGTTTCATGTGGGAGCGGCCGGCGACCAAGATGGACGACAGGGCAGTGCCGTGTTTTTTCCTGAATGGCGGCGACAACCACGCCGACATCACGGTCAAGGTGCTCAAGGAAAGGACCGCCCACGTCTGCTACTCTTCGAATGTGGCGTGGGCGGCGCTCCCGCCGTCGGGGGGGGGGGGGGGGGGGGGTATCACGCACAATGGAATCTTGACCGAGGCAAAATCCACGCACGTCCAATCTCCCAATAACGATCGGCCGGCGGCCCCAAGAGAAGACTCCAAGACCGTACTTCATCAACGCCAACGTGTTGACAAAAACACCTCCACACAGCGACCGTGATTGGACAGGTTTCGCCCATCCTTTTCCGCTTGGGACGCCCGGGTCTACACTTGGCGGAATACTTTTTGGGCCGCATCAACAGGGGCCACAACGTCAGGAACCCTTGCGAGGCCTACGCCGATAGAAGCCATGGATGCACACCGCAATTTACTTACTACGTTCGTGTTGAGGTGCCTGCATGAATACTGTGTTGCGGTTCATAACTCGGGGGTGTGACCATTATGAATAGTCCGTTGCTCCTTGTACGGGGGTTGCCGTCTCTGACGACAGCTCGAAAAAAATATGATCAAACCAAGTAGAGAACACAGATTTAAGAGAGAAAAGATTCGCACGGAAGTACGACGAGATACTACAACGAACGACATAAGAAGATTGTGCATCGCCGCACTCTTGGTCGCCGAAAAATGGATATGATCAAATGTTCTGAGCACTGATCGAAAGGAATGAACAAAAACAAAATACACAATTCACCATGCTGCCCCCAGCAGACATACTGTAGGCGGTGGAACCGGTCGGTGTGGCGATGATGAGGCCATCGGCCTGAACGGTCGTCAGGTGCTCCTCGTCACAGTAGCACTCCAAGTTGGTCAGGTAGGGGCTGGAGCCTGATCCGACGGTGCACAGAGGACGACAGGAATGCACGGCGTTCGCTGAGATCGTCCACGTTCATTTGTATGCCCAAGCCTTCGAATTCCATATGGTCATGGATCGTGGACCATGCAGCGGCTTAGGACCATACCACCATGCAATGGTAATGCGCCACGTATCCATGTACCATGGTTTTCCTACTCTGTCTGTGAAGAGACGCCGCCAGCAAATCGGGGAGCCCGGAACAAAAAAGAAAACACGAGCTTCAGCCAATATCTACACCGGAAATTCTTGCAAGATAAGCTCCCCCCTTCCTTTTCGCTGTTGTGGAGCTATCACTAATCCCCTCTCCATGTACGGCCATGAATTTTCCACTCCTTGCAATCTAATATGTACATCAGACTTCACCCACACCCACCCACATCCCACATGTGCTTTTCCAGAGCGAGTGACAATAGACGAGCCTATTTCACTCCTTGGATTCCAATACTTCAGACCTCACACGATGCCGCATCCACCGAAACTCCAATATTCCAGTGGGGGGGACGGAATATTGACGAGCCTAGGGCAGCAGCACTCTCTTACCTCTGTCGATGACGATCTCGTTGAGGGCGTGGAAGGCCTCCGAGGTCTGGTCGTCTCTGATTATCCTCGCGGACAGCCGCATCCGGAGGGAGACCTTCATGCCCCCGCTCATGATCCGCCGGACCTCCTCCTTCATCGACTCGTACTCGAACGGGCTCAAGAATCCCATCGACCCCAGGTTAAAGCACAGATGCGGGGGCACCGATCTCTGCGCGGATGGGGGGGGTGTATGTGCGAGCGCAAGTGACGTCATGCAAACGCACAGAGTGAATGCAAAAAAAAACTTTAAACCTGACTTCCAGCAAGCGGGGGGTTGGTCGGAATGTTGGCGAACTGGGGGCGATTTTGGAATGAGCGGATGGCCGCAAGTTTTTGTGGTCAAAACGCCATTGATTTCGAGCGCAAGTGATTCCTGATGCCCGCACAGAGGCCGGACTCAGCACGAAACACAATAGATAAAGTGGGTGCTCGGAAGCGCAGAGTGCCAACGTTTCGATACACGTTGATGATGACAAATACACACTTTCACGGTCGCAACTCATGCGCTGAAATCAGGACACAAAACGGCAGCACGCTACCAAAGAAACAAAAAACACAGCAAGGCAGACACACGATACGAACACACCAATGCATCACCCCTTGATGACAATGCTGTGCTCTCATGAGCCCACTCCGGAGGGAGTACATGCAAAACAAAAAAACACAGCAGGGCCGGCAAACACACCAACACACCAACCAAAACTCACTCTGAACAACGTGTTGCTGTACATCAGGAGGCCGTCCCCACCCAGCGTAAGCACGAAGTCCACTCTGTCTCCGTCAAGAGGGGGCGCGGGTCCCGCCCCTCCCCTAGGGCCCATCTCTGCCACGACCGACCTCTCGGGCGGCGTAAATACCTCCAGCTTCCCGGCAGCTCCCTCCGTGAACTCGTCTAGGGCCTGGAGCAGAACGCGGGTGTAGCGGCGGGTTGCCGTTGCTGCTGCTGCTGTTTTTATTCTTGTTCTATTGGTCGGTATCATGGTAAACGACAATGCTGCAGCTGTCATTGCTGTTGCTGGTGTTGTTGTTATTCTTGCCGGCGCTGCTGCTGCCGCTGCTGTTGCCGTCGTTCTTGCGTTTGTTCCCATGGTTGGTATCATCGTTACCGATAATGCTGCAACCTTCGTTGCTGCTGTGGCTATTGCTGTTGTTGTTGACACTACTGCTACAATAGCGGCTGGTGTCGACGTGTATGCATTGATCCTTCACAATGTGTTAGGCACGTCCACGCCGGGTACCTCACAGTCCCGCAAAAACCACCCAATCAGCTAGCAACAAGCTTCCGTGGGGCACAACGTAGAGTAATTTCTAATATCAAACACGCAAATCATCATCATCAGCCTCAGCAATAGCTGTCCAATCGGTGTGGACCGCCGCCGTCACCAACGCCACCGTCCTAAGGTAGACATAGAAAAGCAGATAGCCCGGAGTTTACAGAATGACCGAAAAAAACATGACGATAGTTCGCCCATCATTTCACAAGAAGGCGGGGTGAACCGGGTCATGGACACCCTTTCGGATAAAGACATTGTACGACCTAGAAGACAGCTAGTGCAATCCTACCATTCCCGCAACAGCACGGCAACACCTTGACAACGCCATATACCGAACGCCGCACAAGCAGGCGGCGTACTTCTTTCATCACCTGGCCCACTGCCTCCGCCGCCGCCGTTTCCACCATGACCTTAAGCCCCATATCCCGCTGCAGGTAGTCGATGGTCTGTGCGGCAAGGGGCAACAAGTCCCGGTCGGGCTTGAGGAGGACCAACGCCCGTCTCGGCCGCTCGTTCCATCGCATCATCACCTGGTGGCACGTGCATGAGGAGTGATGCCACAAAGAGTCAGTGGAGGGTCGAGGTGCCGCCGCACCAAAACGAGTGTGCGCGCTCTCGTGGCTCGGAGGCACGCCAAAATAGCATTATGGCGACCTCCAAAAAATATCATATTGCTTGCCCATCCAAGCGTTTCTAGCCTCCAAAGACACCATATTGCTTGCCCATCCTTGCGTTTCTAGGCGCCTTGGTCTACTCCTCTCGGCTAACAAGCGTTTGGCGAAACCAACCGTCACCCTGGTTGTTCAGTAAGCCCGTCGTAACCCCTCTTTTGACCCATGTGCGACTTCGATAGTGCCAGTCCTATCTATCCCTGGGTCACAACATCCTGCGTACCCCGTTGCGCATCAGGCGCTCACCTGTGTGGTCGCCGGAGCGGAGGCAGAAATCTCCCCGCTCTCCACCATCTCCCGCTCGCAATGGTAAGCATCACAGCGGAACAGGCTGAAGCCCGCGCGTTCTCGAATATCCTGTGTAGGTTAACAGGCAGAGACGCGTGCGAGTCAGTTGGTGTGCGATAACTAGCTCTCCCCCTCACAAAACTCCAGCAAACGTTTTCGCAAAGGTCCGCGATCCGTTGCAAATTGGCCCCGCATAGGTATCACGACATCAAGTTCACGTGCTTACTACGCCCAAAGAAAAATACCGTAACGCCCTGTTCTGTAACGCTTGTAGGCTATCATAGAATTCATACATTCACAATCGCACAGGACCACAACCGTCGTGGGCTCTAGGGAGAAGCCTTTCAAAACAGGAGGATTTCGGCAGCAGTGCCTAGTTTCCCGCGTGGTTGTTTGTTCGCCCCGCAGGGTAGGATTATCCCGAAACGCGATGTCGACGTCGGTCCTAACAGGGTGAGGGGTTCACGTATTGGACCACATGTGCACAAGCAAGTATGAACGCTGCATCGGTAGATGGTGGCAACAAAAGCACGAGCGAAGGGTCAATAATATTCAAGCCCGAAACAATTAAAAAAAAAACAGTATACGTACAAAAACTCACGAGTGTGCTATCGTCGCTGCTGCTCCCAAAGTCGCTCGCTTTGCCGGGACTCTCGCGCGGGGGCATCGAAAACGGCGGCACGGGTGCCGCTGCTGATACCGTCGCTTCCTTCTCACCACCGCCGAGCGCTGCATTGCTGCTGCCCGAACCGTTCGTGGTGGTGGCGGAGGCGGTAGTAACGGGATTTCGAGACGAACCCACTGGCGATGTGTCGGTTCTGCCGCACGACACAATGTTCCAAAGTGGGAAGTAGTGGAAAAGGAGTGTTTTCAACCATTTGAGGCTTCGGCCTTCCGAAACCACCAGAGGCGACCAAAAGCATTTGTTTACGTCAACACATGAGTGTAAGATGCTGGCGACAGCGGAACGTAACATCCTGTGACTTAAAGCCTTCGTGGCCGATGCTGGGTTACCCCCACAGCAGAAGAAACAAGACACGAGTCTCAAGCAAGGGAAAGAGGCTCTATCAAAGCTTGCACTGTTTTTGAGTTGAACAGACTCATGCGCATGCTTTTCGCCTGTAGACAGGCAAGGACGACCAGCTGGCTCGGGCTTCCCCCCGGCGCACCGCTTATGTAGCAAAAAAAATGCAAACTGTTGCACCTGGAACACATGTAGTGTCATGATTTTTTGTAAAGACCCTTTACACATCCCATGCGCGAGCACTCATGTCGAAGGCAGTACAGGACCAGCCCGTGGAACAATCAATCGGTTGCCCCCGGGACGGAGTTGCCTTGCTGCGCAAGTGCAAGAAGTGCAAGTGAGTTTGTACCGACATTTGCATCACGGCTGTTACATTACATACCAGCGCCTGTACCCGTGACATGTCGGTAGTTGCTGCCCGCGAGTGTCCCAGCCGCAGTCATCGTGAGCTGCTGCAACGAAAGGCCAACCTGGCGTGCCAGCCACAGCCCACCAGCATGACACAAGCAGCGAAACAGCTACAACGGCAACGAACAAAGCTTGACGGGCTCACCTGTCTACCCCAGCGGCGGCAGTAGCATCACCTCGTCGCACAGCAGGAGGTTCTTCGGCGGCACCCCCGCCCCCGCGAACCGAAGGCAGCCTCCACGGGGCCGGCCGTCGCAACCCGCCCCTGGTCGACGGGGGTGCCCTTCCTCCACCTAATGTCCCAGGCGAGACGCCGCTGTTGCCCGCCTTGTTGACGTCTCTGCCGCTGCAAGTCGCAGCAGAGGGAGCGTACACGTTGGTGCGTTGCTGGCGGATACTGGCGCTCCCGAGGAGCGAGTCCGCAGGGGATTGCATCATCGCCGCGGCAGCCACGCCAACAGCGCTGAGGGTTCGGCGTGCCATGATGCAAGGAGAGACCGCTCACGGCGCCAACAAAGCAGACAGCAGAGGGCTACGTGTGCAAGCTTCCTTGTTTCCGAAGTGTGACCACAGCAGAGGCAGGTACAGCAGGTACAGCAAGTAGGCCAGATATTGTATTTCCCGGGGGGTTCAAACTCGAAAGTCTTCGAAGCGACGAAATGTAAACACGCCCAGGCACACCCGTGTATGCACACGAATAGTCAAAGAGCCGTTCCCTTCTCCCTGGTGGCTGATACAAACGCTGCTTGGCGGTGTGATACGTCAACTTGAGTGCGGAGTGCGTAACATGTCGGGGGCCCTTTGCTTAGGATTCTCAACCCCCTTGCAAAGTATACACTTTGCGAGCCCCCCCCCCGGGCCGGACCGAGCAACCGAGTAAGCCAGCAGGAGCAGACAGGCGAGGAGAGAGTCAAAGTGCAGGAGCAAGGATGATGTCTCTACTACCCCGTGAGTGTTATTTGTGTGTCTGCTAGTGTGTCGTTGCGTCCGTCCGGCACGGGGTTAGTCGCGAGCCTCACTCCCGCACTGCTGTGTGTTCGATGCACACACAAGACGCGGTGTCAGTCAAGACCGGACCGCAAATGCACGACACCCCTAGTCAAGAGCAACTTAGTAGAGAAGCAGCGTCTGTTGGTCGCCCGTATGCTTGTGTTGCATTATCTTGCTCTGCTTTCTTAGCATGCGTGCGCTTCTTGCGTACTTCAATCTGGCCCAAACTACCCCCCCTCTCGCCAGGTCAGTCGAACTCCTCCGAGAAAGACACCCGCAATGCGGCCGGGTCTGAAGAGAAGTCAGCCCTCTACTTTTGTAACCACTACACTTGCAGCCCAGGCAATACCATTGTGCCTCTGACTCGACTCTGGCTCCGTTGCATGCTCAAGAACAACATTACCCTTCATTGCTGCAGCCATAGATAACCTCTGTACAAAGTAGCGTCATCCGCCCAGAGCCTGAAAGCCAAAAGGTGGGTTGTTTCATTAATTACGACATGCAGAAGTAGACTACATCGTACAAGTTTCGCGATTACCATCTCAGAGCTCTTGCCTTCCTGCTCAAGCATGAACCCGCAAGGGTGGCATACATGCAGGGCTGCGTTGTTGTTTGTTGGCTTGTGATCAACCGTGCTGCTGCTGCTGCTGCTCCTGTACACGAATACCCTCTGATTATTCGACGCGAACCCGAACACCTTCGTTTTAACCAGGGCGGGGGCTCGCGATCGCGATGCAACAAACCCGCGCCACCGCCGCCGTCTACCGCGCCCCCGTGGCCCTTCTCCACACCACGGACAAGAAGCAGGAGCAGTCCAGCAAGGTCGGTTCGTGATTCGGTAGACAGGAAGGACAGAGCATAGGCCCCCCGTTCTCGTCGTTTTGGCTGTTTTCCTTAACTCAGCACCGCCGTGGCACAGCAACTGCAAGCATGTCATATGCCCCCGCGCACGCGGTCGGCTGCGCAGTCAACTGCGAACGACAAGAGCACGCGCGACACGAAGCTTTCCCCCCGCCCCCTTGAACCCCTCACCATGTGTCGTTTTTTTGTTATGGGCATGCTCCATGCAGGTACAGGACATGCGCAAGCCGACCAGCTCCGAGCTGACGAGAGCAGAGAATGTGGACCAGCTCATGCAGCAGGGAAAGGGCGGGGTTGGTGAGCAAATATATGAAGCATGGGGAGGGGGGGGGGGGGGCGTACTCTTATGTTTTGCATGCCTTAGCGGTTAGACCATTGACCACGTGTCCTCGAGAGGACGGAGCATTGTTCCCACAGGACTGATCACCGATGGCCAATCGTTCCTTCCTACTTTGCCAAAGGTGGCTCAAAAATGTCTTCCCTAGTCTGTCTATCCTAACGATATCCCTTCCCGCCTTTTCAAACCACTTCCTGCTCCCCAGTACAGCTACCGTCCTCTCCTCTCTATTCCATGCCTCACACATCTCCCTGTAGGTCCCTTGTATTTTTCCCAGCTCAGTCATGTACACTTCCCTCTCCTCTTCGCACCACGGACATTCCGCGACTACATGAACACGGTCTTCGCATTCGAAGCCGCAATCACATTTGAACTTGTTGTCTTCGCCGTCTACCGTCCTATGTCTTCGTCGACGTTCTCGAAGGCCTATGTCCCCGGTCCTGAATTTGACCTTAAGCTTTGTCCCTGCATCCATTGGTCCATGTAGGTAATCCTTGAACCCTATTCCTTCTTTCAATATTCCGTACACTTCTAGACCCTCCTTATCCTTGGTTTCTTTCCTTAGGTTATGTTCTTCTCTGTCGGCACAAGCAACAGATATCTTCTCCTTGAACCCCTGTAGACCCTCCGTTTCCAGCGTTTCGTCTTCGTCGATATCTAACCCCTTCCATACGTCCTCTACAACCTTGACCCATTCCGTGGGTTGTCTACCCCTCTTTTTGCTTGCCCACTTCGCCTCCCATACTATTCTCGGCAACCTCCCCTCTCCCATCCCGCACATGCGATACTGCCATGTCAGCTTCCTTGCGTCTCTTCCTGACCGTAGGGATTGGATCCCCAATTCTGCCCGTACGGCTGCATTACTTGTGCGCTTGGAGCATCCTAGGGTGATTTTCGCTGCTTTCATCTGCGCCGCCTCGAGTTCTTTCACTACCTTCTTATTTCCTTCCCATACTTCTCCGGCGTACTCTAGCGGCGGTACGATTACGCTCTTCAAAACCGTCAATTTGATGCTTGTATCGAGGTGCCGGTTTGCGAGCATGGGGAGGGGGGGGGCATTGGATGACCGCTGCAATACGCCACGCATGCTCCATCCAGCACGAGGAAAGAGGAAATAGAGCTATTCTCTGTTGGTGTTGGCCTCACAACAAGCCTTGGTAGAGGATGAGACATCTCCTCCGCCCGTGTTGCCCCACGGCCATACCCACCTCGCTGTTTGGATCTACTGGATGCTGTTGGAGCAAGCCGCCCCCCCCTTCTCGCGTACAACGCATTGCGACTCTCTGGGCACCTAACCCTCTCATGTCTACCCGTGCTCCGAAACCCCCCACATACCAGAGTTCGTGGTTTCGAAGGTGGACGATCTGGTGAACTGGGCGAGGAAGGGGTCGCTGTGGCCGATGACGTTCGGGCTGGCCTGCTGCGCCGTGGAGATGATGCACTCCGCTGCCTCGCGCTACGACCTCGAGCGCTTTGGGATGGTGAGTTCCGCGCTCCCCCATGTATATGCTGTTCACCCCACCACTTCCCCCCGTAAACCGATACCCCTCCCTTCTCCCTCGGTCTCTTCTGCCTCTCCCCGCTCTCAAGCTTGAAAGCAGTTCGGTGGTTGACTTTTCTGTTTTGTTCTTCTGGCAGCGTGATGTTTCGATGAACGAATATGCTTGCCGAGGGCGGGGCCGCAGGCAACGGCACCGCGCGCGATTGCCTCTTTTGGCGGTGCTCTCGTGGTCTTGAAAGCGCCATGTGTGTTTTTTAAGAGCGTTCAGTAATTGTTGACGCCGTTGATATTCTCAACGGGAGCTTGTACCGTAAGTCGACGGATTTATTTATGTCTTCGGTGGCGGTGTGGCCGTTTTCTTGCGACCGTCCCTCGTGTCCCTCGTGCGGTTGCGATCGGGTCGGCCCAGCACTCCACCGCGGCCTCCACGATTGCTCTGCCTTGTTATTGTAACGTCCTTTCGCTTGGGCTACAAGCCCGCAGGAACTCCGGTATGCGCATAGTTTGATGCCAAACTGACACTATTCACAATTGTTGCTGCACTATTGTACCGCCATGCGTATTGCTTTTTCCCGGCTAACTTTTCCACGTAGAACTATGGCGTTGCTAACTCCTGTGTGTTGCTGGTATGCCTCTTGTGGTCGTGAACAGGTGTTCCGGGCGTCGCCCCGGCAGTCGGACGTGATGATCGTGGCAGGCACCCTGTGCAACAAGATGGCACCAGCGCTGCGTAAGGTAGGAGGGGGGGGAATTGCAGAACCGGAGACCGGAGAGAGATACATTGAAGGGGAGGATGTAGAAACAGAGACGGAGACAGAGAGATTGCGCAAACGCACAGTCACAGCAGTGCGGCGATCTCACCCCCCCCGCGCCGTTGGGCAAATTGGTTGTCGACACACGATTCCGCCCTTCCCCATGTTTGGAGCATTGATGTTTTATTGGGAATGCTGTTCTCCTATCTGTGTGGTGCGACCCGAGTTTTTGACGGAAAAAGACCGAAGTTCCGAGTTTTTGACGGAAAACGACCGAAATTCTTCCGTTCGGTGGAGAACCAATCTCAGGGATGGTTGATCAAACACAAGGTACACACAGCAGCTGTGTTTTTTGTTTCTTTGTGCCGTTCCTTTGTTGGGACTAATAGCTACTCTCGGGTCTTTGGCTGACCTGTTAATGTAGCCAGTGCAACAACCGATTCCAGAATCCTCCTCACCCATGACATCAAGAGGAGGCGTGCACCGTAGAGGAAATTGCTCTATTTAGCTCACGAGTAGTAGAGCAGGCAAGACCGTGCTGTATGCATATGTATGTGTCGATGCCGCGCCAACAACAGACGTCGTGATTTATACTTCGTAGTAAATACAAACCAGAAAGACATTGCTGGCACGGCGGGACTCCTTCGGAATCATCACGCTTAATCGATCCCACCGCCTAACTACGTCGCAATTTGTCTCCTGCCGTCTACCTTGGCATGGATGGGGCCTTGGAGTATCCCTCCACGTGTGGGATGCTATGTATTTAAGCAACACTTGCTCCTTTTTTCTCACCGCCGGCGAATGTATCTCCCTGGCAGGTTTACGATCAGATGCCCGAGCCGCGTTGGGTGGTGTCCATGGGGTCTTGCGCGAACGGGGGTGGCTACTACCACTACTCGTACTCGGTAAGAGGTCGAGTGGTGGGCGCGAGAAATTAAACGGGGTATACCAGGGGCGTGTTCAGACTCTTGTCGAGTCTACTGCTCGAATACACGCTGATGTCGTTGTCATGTTATACGGGTGAAATGCTGGTATTAATATTATTGTTCCCAACTTTGGACCATGTCGGATTTCCCTATATGCTTTTAGAATTTCACGCCGTCGGTTCGGCTCGATATCCAACGTCGCTGCCTTACCTGTCTGAGACACGAGTAAAATAGCGTGAGAAATCGCTTGATTTCCGGAGGCACAGCATTGTGTCAAACGGATAAATTCTCGTGTCAACGGATACATTCCTATGCCCGAATGATGGGTGCATTCTTGGGCGTATGCCCATGACACCGACGGTATGAGAAGGCCAGACAACGCGTGGATGTGCTGTCGTGTTTGGCGAGTGGCGAAGTCGGCGTCAATGCCTGTGTACTTGTCGATGTGTGCCGTCGAATCTGTCCTCGCTCTGCCTGCGGTTTCACGGTCGGCCGTGGTTCGTGTGCGTGCATATTGATATAATCATGGTGGTGGTGTTCCTCACGTGCATGGACGAAGCTTGCCGACTGGTCAATGGGAACAAGCAACAGGCGACCCAAAATTGCTTCTATCCACCCCCTTCGTTAGCAAACAAGCCACACCCTGCTCTCCCCCGCCCAAGGGATGGGTGTATTCTGGTGCATGTGTCTTCTGGTTACCATCGCCCCCCACAACCATGTCGAATAATTTCGGCGAGGCCCGGACGAAAACGGTTCCTGACCCCGTGTACATTTACGTTTGCATGTGTTTATGCCTCTTCCACCCGCTTTTTGATGATTTCCAGGTCGTACGTGGCTGCGACCGCATCGTGCCGGTGGACATCTACGTGCCGGGTTGCCCGCCGACCGCGGAGGCTCTTCTTTACGGCCTTCTCCAGCTGCAGAAGAAGATCAAGGGGAACAAGTCGTTGTTGCTCCGGTTGAAGAAGTAGCGCGTTTTTTTTTATCTCTCTGCTGGTGTTGTGAGGAGGCACGCGGCGACTTTATCTCTTGTTGTCGTTCACGGTTTAACCGTGTGTCGTCGTTGCTGTTTGTGTAATGCCGCCGCGGGGGGTACAGACAAATGGCTTTGTTTGGGGCTGGGTGTCCGCTCAACGGGGTGTGATTAGGCACAGATCTGTAGAAGCCCCCAGTCAGTGCTGACTAATGGTCTGGTGGTTTTGGAACATGCTGGTATGCATACAATCGAAGAAACACTACAATACCCATTCGAGATAGACCACAGTAGTCGAAGGGGATGTGTGGAGGTCTTTACATTGAGTTGGAAGAAAACCGGTGGGATAAAAGGGGCATATTTAGGGTCTTTTTAAGCCTATTCACTGACTGAATTTCTATCAGTGATGCCAGCGGGCGCTGATCACAAAATCACAGTTTGTACAGGTATAGGTACAAATCACAAGACATCTCCTCTGTAGCCTTCTATCGATTGGGTCGACGACACAAACATCGGGGAGAAACCCTCCGTTAGGTCGTGTGTTGTAGCATTCTGCCTTGACGGGAACAAGTTTGATCTGTAGACTTGCCTGTGCAAACCATGCTGGAAAGGATGGATCTAAGGGAACAAGCTGTACCGCAACCGCACTCGATACCAATGGTACGTACCGTGATTTCGGTGGAAAACATGGACTTGCGTTTTCGTGGCAATGAGGAATGGCAGAGTGGGAGCGCCACTGGAAGGAAGAGTTCTATTCGTACCTGTGTGTGCTCATTCTGTTGGTTTGGCGAAAAGCTCAAGATTTGGGCGCGGCTTTTGCTGAGCTTGACCCACCTAGCACTGGAAGCCCAAATGGGGACACTTTGGGACACAGCACTCAAAGGCCTATTTACCGCACTGTAGTCAACATAGGCTCCGCTGTGTGCAACGCACGTCAGGACCCTTGGTCTATCATGGTTGGCTGAGGTGGTACGCTGTGTGATATGCTGTGTGATGTCTCTCCTGGGCCTCTGGCTTGCTGTACACACCTCCAAACCCGCGTGCCCCCTGGGTCGTAAAACTGACTGTACATCGCCTGGTACTGGAAAAAAAATGCTGGCTTGGCTTCAGTATGAAAAGTGTCCCCAAAATGTCCCCACGTCGTGGGCCACGTCGTGGGGACGTTTTTCACACTCAAGCCACGTCACCCTTTGCCTGGCAAGGAGCAAGGAGCTCACATATTTGGAGGGACTGTAGCCCCTCGACCAATGGCTGACAAATATTTTTTCGGCGTTTTTTTTTGCGGAGGGACTGGGTACTAGGATATGATGTATCTTTCGCGGCAGACGCAAATAAACCTACACTTGACGTCATGGCCTGAGCCTCGGGCCGAAATGGAAGGCCACCAATTTATCATTTCGCGCAATATACCACCGTGCACATGGGTTGTAGCGGACACTAGGATGCGTCACACTTCTTGGGTGTTTTTGAAAAACACCTTTTGTGAAAAGAGGGAATCGTCGTCGACCAGACGTTGGGGAGATGGTTCCTTATATATATATATTGGGACGTGATCTCCACACGTTTCGAGATACAAAGAGGAGACGTATGTACATACTCAAAGAGGAAACAGACGTATCACTCCGTGACCAGGTACAACCTACACTGCTGTGTCCTTTTTCGAGACCGAGTGATATGTGTGACTCCGTGTGTGTGTCGAGTGTCGTTCTTTACAGCAGACCAGCATTGTGCCGTCCCACCGTGTCTTCTTCATGATACCCCCGGCGGTAACAAACATGCGTTCACATTGGACAGAAAAAAAGAGAGAGAGGGGGGAAGAAACCGTGAAACCGTCTAACTTCTTCCCACATGCCCGTCCCGGCAGTTACACACCTGACACTGAACACAAAAACGGAACGGATCGAAACGGCCCACCGCCTTATTATGGACGGGGCACCCCAGGGCGTGCGGTCCATTTTTCCTGCACGAATGCCAAAGTATTGCAAGGGCAACCATGGAACGCTACTATACACGGAGGCACACTCTTGATACACCCGCCCCGACACTTCTGGATCCCGTATTTTCGCGTGGTCTCGGGCCTGCTATGAATGAGGTTCAAGTCTGCAGTGCTGTACCTAAGAAGTGCAGTAAAAATTCCGAGTAGTCTTGTGTTCCAGGACAACAGCAGATATATCACTGGAAGTGTGTTGACACAAGACACCCCCTAAAGATCGATCACGGATAGAGAGGCAAAACACCAAGGCCGTATCGTGCAGTTGGACCTCCCTGTTTTTGATAGCGTGAGTTCGTGAAGGGTCACTGCTTCCTGCTGTGGGTCATTTCATCACCTACTGCTATACTACCGCTGTAGCTCCTAAGGTAATGAGCGAGCCGAGATCTTCCTCCGATTGATTACTGTGGTGGTGTGGTGGTGCTGTATGCAATGGAGCAAGCGAGCAACCCCGGCAACAACAGCGTCCGCATCAAAGCCGAGCTCTGCTGGAACGAGGGAACGCTGGTGGAGGGTGCTAGAGTCAGTCAAGTGGGAAGTAGGGAGCAAGCCGCGTCACCAGCAAACAGGGACGAGGCTCAGGCCTGGCAGGTGGCTGCTGTCGGCGTGGAGAAAAACTCCCCATCAGGTGATGATGCAAAAGAGAGGAGTTTTTTTTAGAGAGGGTATACCGCCGTTGCACAAGAAGCACGTTTCAACGGGCGCTTTCCTGACGAAGAGGACAAAAGATAGAGGCAGATGGATGTACAGCAGGTGCGTAGCACGTGCTTCCCGGTTGCGCATCATACAGCACGCCTATCGACATACACAGCTCACCAACAAGGCATTTCGAGGCGGGCGGCACTGCTTCCTACCAGCACACACGCCCATATCAGCGGCCGTTTTTTTTTTTTTTTCATGTCTTCAGTACGTTTTTTCCCGCTGATATTGTTACCCAGCCGGTAATAAGATAAGATGTCGCAACTTGTGTTGTTGTCAGAGGTTGGCTCCCGACCTCTAGACGCTGCACGCCACTTTCAACGTGTTGTTTGGAATCGCCAACCTCCCACGTCTTCAACCTCATCAGGGGCAGCCGAACTGTGTCTCTCTTTTCATACAATCATACATTTGCTGTAGGAAGGCTACGTACGTGTAGTCTATGTCACTTCTTGACTAGTCTAATTGTTGGTCCGTTACCACAGTCTAATTGCATGGTTTTTACTGGTTACGGCCCCCCTTTGACTTCGTGACGACGCATGACAACGTATGTAGTTCCGGTCGAACATGAGATGGGGGAGCTTGAGCTACATTGCAAGGGCATGGGAGGAGCAATCGACAACTACAGACATCTGCCGTGCGGCAGAGGGCAGGTATGCATGGGTTTGTTTGTGTAGCTCGGAGAATCTTTCTTGTGCGGGCTCCGGGCAAACACATCTATCTATCCTGGATCTTTGTTTGCTGTTTATGCAACAGAGCTTGTCGGTCTGTGGAATGTACCTGAGGGCGCTGTTTTACTTGTATTATTTTGTTTCTTCTGCGTTTAGACTACATCCCTACAGCCGCGAGTCTATACAGCAGTATAGGCGCCCGCACACTTAAGGACGTCTAGTTTGGCCGAGATGAGGGTTGTTTGTTCCTTCGCTGTATGCATATATATGTAGGGTTATTGCGCATGACCGCCACGTAGGGATCAAAGGGGGTGCAGAAAATATATATATTTTTTGGTTGACTAAATTTTGGAAACAGAATCAAGAGCACCAGCACAAGACCAGTCGGAAGGCATCGTGAGAGACAGAAATCGTTGATTCTCGCACAGGGCGGCAGTAGAGACTGCTCAAAACACACATTTTCACGCGTCTACCTCCACACACACGCCTCCTTTGAAATCAAGAAAAATTCACACCATTCATTCTTCAGAAAGCCGAAAGAGCCAAAACGGCAGGCGCTAAAATATGGTCTGTGATGCCAAGCACCTGGTGCATAGTAGTACTATCATCACTAGAAGAGAGGACATCCTATAGCAGCGGAGGGTGCGTGTTGGCGCGTGCTCAAATCTGCTGCTGCTGTGTGTGGTGGTGATATCGACGATGGGTGTACAGCAGTAGTAGCAGTGGCCCTACAAGTTCCGCACATCTAGGCAGATTAGACACCCAGTGTCTTGTACTGCTTGTGCTCGCCGCCACTGACCCCAATCTGAATTGCAGGTTTACAGCAGTAGCTGATGCCACTATCTACTGTTGACAACCCTCCGTTCAGGGGTTCAACGGTCCGTGGCGGTGAGCACGGCTGTGACAAATGCTGGATGCCGATTGGTTCCAACGCAGACCTCCGAGGCTGCCTCGACCTTCGATATTTCAGCTCCAGTAGCAAACCTGAACGTGCCAGCACGCACGACGCTTCTTGATGGTGTCCTCTGCTCGTAGTTGTACTAAGTACCGGGTTCCTCTGGCGGGAAGGTTGTTTTTTTTCTTTATGTTGGATTAAGAACAGTGGCCAAAATCGGGTACATCCGGTCAGAACACGGCCATAATCGAGTATCCCTACAAGACGCTGCTGGGAGCGATCGCATGCCACCATCTGATTGGCGGGCGCCCGCCCCTACCCGGCCTTGGCCGTCTTTCCACTGGGTGCACCCCATCTTGGCTACTCACCCCGGGGGGGTACCCGGTTTTTCTTTCCCGTACCTATCCGAAAATGGCTGGGCTGTTCGACCAAAACCCATGCACAAAATCACGGGTCGGGCGCACACCACTGGCCCTCGTTTGTCGCCAATGAGCAAGTAGCGGGAGGGAGAGAGTATGTCTATTTTTTTAATGAGTCCCGTGTGTGTCGCATATCGTGAGGGAGGGATTCACCCAGCTCTTCTTCTCGATCATTTGCACAGACATACCGCCAGCCGTTTCCCCCAAGAGAGACTTCCACCGCCGGCGGAGGGTCTGCCTCCGCCCGGCGGGCCGTCAGAACGTCCGAATTTTCGAGGGCAGGGCGTTGCTGACGTGTATTGTGTGCGTGGGTTTTGGTCGAACAGCCCAGCCATTTTCGGGTAGGTAGGGGAAAGAAAAACCGGGTACCCCTCCGGGGTGAGTGGCCAAGATGGGGTGCACCCGGTGGAAAGACGGCCAATGCCGGGTAGGGGCGGGCGTCGGCCAATCAGATGGTGGCATGCGGTCGCTCCCTGCAGCGTCTTGTAGGGATACCCGATTATGGCCGTGTTCTGACCGGGTGTACCCGATTTTGGCCACTTCTCTTGGATTGATGTGTGAGAAAAGAGCCAGCGTCAATACCCCTATTACATATTCTGGACCCCCTTCACCAAGCTCACCAATGGTGCTCAAGTTCTTGGTAGATATTGTTTTTTCGAGGCTCAATTTCTTGACAACCAAGTTTTTTGCTGCGGGCGCACTCTACATTTTGCATATATGCTCGTGAAGTGACCACTCAATGTTGTCGAAAGCGGAGTCGACGATTGATCAATTTTTCAGGCCGACAGCAGCCGAGCCGACACGATCGATTCCTGCAGCTCTATGTCCGACGGCTATGCATTGCAGTTCGAAGCCCCCATTTGATCGAACTGACGTCGATCCCTCTGCAGACCAAACAAAGAAAGCGAGAGACCCCATTCGACACATTTTGACGGCACCAACGCCACGAAAAAACTGAAGAGAAATCGCTTGAAAAACGACCACAAAGGACCTTCCACCCTAGGTACCGGGCTAGGCGGCGTGTGTTCTTACCCTTACGGCTACGGTCCACTATAATAGTAGTGCGGCAGAGGCGAAGATAACCACGAAGTTATGGGAAGTTCATTGCAGAAACTGCCCGGCAAGAGTCATGTAGGCCAACCAAAAGGTTCGGGCGATACGCCTTTGTTTACCATGTGCTCTCCCCCACCACATTACGTACGTCGCAGAGTGCAGCTCTACGGAGTTTGTCGCCGCAAACGCAACAAGGATTATTCATGGAAGGAAATATGAAACATGCCCCCAAAACATCTCGAGTGCCCCTTTCGCTTCAGGTAGTTTTTGCTTCAGTTAGTTTTTATGCCTCGTCACATCCTGTTAGTTTGTATTTAGCGCAAGATCATTGCTATTGCTGTTAATGAACGTTCATTGACCATTGTACCTCTGTACATCAGAAAGATGGCTAGCCGCCTTTCTGCCCGTGTGATGGGGGAGTGTGCTGTCCACGACACGTTTGTTTAAAAAAATGATTTCGCATGTGTAGATGGGCGGGAAAAAAGGTAGCGCATAGCTCTGCTGAAAGGAGTTTTTTCACCCTAGACTCTCTGCAACTTTAAATTTGAGGGCAAGAAAGGGAGAGATGTGTGTGCACACGCGTACCACTACGATAATTCTCACTTTTCTCTTTCGTGCCAGGCTGGTGGAGGCTGCTGCACATCTAACGGCACCCCCTCGCCCCCCACGCCGCCTTATACTTTCCTTCCCGTGGCCCACGCTTGAACCTGGATGAACTTCTTTTTGGGGGCACTCATGGTTGCTTCGCTGGAGGGCGAAGGCGGACTCAAGCACATGCAGCAACAACAACGAAGCTATCCAGGGTCCGGAGAACGCCGGAGGCACCGATGCCACCAACTCTGCAATGGTCGCTTCCTTTCTCCGCAGGAGGGCCCCTCAGGGTCTCGCTTTTGCCGTAGTGGCTGCAACGGTGTACGTGGTTTATAGGAGGAGGCGTCGCAGGCCGGGGGGACGCCCACGTTCCCGGCGCCAGGGGGGCGAAAGGCGTAGTGATGTCGCGGCCGCCGCGGCTAGACAATGGTGGTGGCAACGCGCTGGTGGGAGTGGCCAGGAGGTGGAACGCAAGGATGATGGCGGCGGGAGTAGCGGTGGTGGTGGTGGTGGTGGCGACACCCGTGATGTGGCGGAGAGAGCCGACGACACAAGGCCTGGGCTTGCACAACAGTTTGGTGAGGACTCGGATGACGGACATGCCCATGGTGGGGAAAGTGTTGGTGGTAAGGAGGAGGAGACGGATAGTCGAATGGACGTTGGTGAAGAGGGGATTCGTAAACGTACCTCCGAACGTGATGAGCCAGGACCTACCGCGTGCCCAAGTCCTGAGCACGACCGGGAGGGAAATAATGGCGGGAAAGCTACTCATGCGGGTGTTCGCACAGACGGTCAGCAACAGGGCGACGTGTCGTATGATGGGGCTATTCAGGGAGGGGGACAACCTGGTCACTCGGTGGAAGAGCAAGACTCAGCATTGGCGAGAATGAGCCGAGGGCAGTCCTTGTTATCCGAAAGTAGTACCGAGGACATCCTTGCCGAGGCCGATCACCTGATCGCCGATGCGGCCAACAACACCCTCAACAGCAGTCGTGCTACGACAACGCCTACCAAACCGAGAGCGGGGAAACCCCGCGCTACGAGCAAAGCAACCGGCCCCACTCAGGCTGCTCGCAGAAAGTCGAAAGACTCTCCGCGCGGCACCTCTAGTCCCAAGCCGACCCTTACGCGCATGACCAGTGTGAGCCGGTCGAGTGATACCCGCAGCCCGAAACGCCCGCGCGTGTACCCGGAGGTGTCCGGCGAAGAGGTCGACGCCCTCGTAAGCCTGACGCAAAGGGCGCTTGAGCGGGACCCCTCGGCTCTAAGCGAGATCGCCAAGGACGCGTCCCTTCAGCAAGGCGGTGATAAATGACACATTGTCCGACGGTGAGCTACATAGATAGCAGGAAACGCCTCCAGCGTGTGGGACGGCGGGCGGGTGGCTACGTCTCCTCAGGCCTCCGGTTTCGCAAACTTCTGACCTTTTGGGATGTTCGCTTCGGAGCGGTTCTGAACAGGCCTGCGGTGTAACGGTAGCTCAAGGGTTTGATTTTTTTTTGTATGAGCTCTTAGATGGGACGAAACTGGTTGGGCTGCCGCACCCTCAGGCATATTGCTGTTAAGAGCTTGGTGTACGGCTTGCAGCACGTGCGCTTGTATCATAACCTGCATTTTTGTATCTCATATTTAGATGCATTTTCGAAGATGTGAATGAAGTGTATTCATAGACCTTTGCACAGCCGTGCGTCTCAGCTTTCATATCTGTTGCGTGCGTGGTTGCACGCTGAGACATGCATGCACCTTGACTGAGGTATGCAGTAATCGCCTGACTTCTTCGTGAGGCTCGTTGTTTTCCTCTTTCGGTAGGGTTGTTGACAGTAGGCCATCACAATTTGCGCTCTAGCTCTCGCGGTATGAAGAAACCGAGGCCTGTGGTCCTCACAGTCAAGTTCCGGCCGTGGTTGATCAACGGATTGATTTGATGAGACCTCTTGCCAGGCGGCGGCAATTTATTGTAGTCGCCGCGCGCGAGAGCGAGTAGACCTCAGCGCGGTGACATCTATGTGACAAGCACTTTACATATGGTGGCACAAGTCGCTCGCGGACATGATGACGTAGTTTTTTTCTGTCGTTGGGCTTTTTGTGGGGCAACGCTGAGAGAATGGTCACAGGTCGCATAGGTTCTTCAGTGACTGGCGGGCGCAGTTGGTACGAATAATCACAGGTCGCTACAGCAGATTTTTCCAGTGAGGAAGGGGGGGGGCAGTTGGAACCGTCTCCATGCGATTGTTTCCCCAAATATAGTAGGAGAGGTTGTACCACTGGAGGGCCGACAGCATGTCCATTCAAAACGTATATGGGGTGTTTGATGATGAGATGTGTGACAAATGAATGGCGTGAATAATCGTGAAACTTCGTTCGGCTGGCGGGGCCAAACCAAAGCTCCCTCTTTATTTTCCGTTTTTAGCCCTCCTGCTGATCCTGAGGCAGAAAGTTGGGGACCATTTGTTAGTTATCACGTCCGCCATCATGGGTTATTGGTCGGGTGGTACAACATTGCACATAACGACTACCGACCGGCTGATCGGATCGAAGAAGCGTCCTCCAGGCCCACCCAGATCGTGTGGCCAGGATCTGTCTACGCCCTTCGGCATCACCTCACGACGCCAGCAGCATGCCAGCAGCAGCACAGCAGTATCATGCTGTCACCTCCTGGGCACCTACCACAACCATTGTCATATCTCTGTAGTAGTGTATGCCAGAAACGACACGCCTCCGACGAGCGTGGGCCAGAAACTGAGACATGTAACTTTGTGGATACGGCTAGCCTACACAGCAATGCAATGCATGAGTCTGTAGGAGGAGGACTCTGCTGGGTGGGGTATGAATGAATGTGCAGCAGTCCACAATACAAGCAGTGTAGACGCCACATCTGGAGGTGACAAGTGGCAGGTCTCTCCAGCAAGGTGACGGGTGGCTGCGGGCGGCGGCCAGTGGTCCATGACCACGTAGTAGGCGCACAGGCGAGGTTCCAAGTCACAACTCCGGGGACGACAACGCCCGGTCCCCCGATGTCAAATATGAACCTAAACGCCCTACGTGTACACAATGGACAACCCCCGCCGGTTTGCGTGCCCCCTTGCACACGTTGAACACTTACCACCCCCTCCACTTGTGAATTGGCGATGTTGGCGAGCAAGGTCAAGAGGGGAGGCGACCACAACACAAGAGGGAGATGTCTTAACATCGTGTCGGCTTTGCGGCGCAGGTATGGTTTGCGATCGCCGTTTTATGCTGAACGGAACATGTCTGCTCCTCTGCTCCGTAGGAATGCTGCTGCTTTTATGTCGAGATCAGCACTTTGTACGAGTTGCTCGTTTGTGCCTATACGAGTTTCGGCCACTCAAAGTGGGAGGCCTGTTATTGACCTATGAGCGTGGATTGGCTGGGCATATTGGGACGTTGATAGTGAAGTGCCACCGGACTGATGCTGTGCATATCAGGTACCTTTGGCTATATCTGCAACAGGCATATTTGAATTTTAAAATCGAGATGTTCCAACAACCGCTCTGTTCGCGAATATCGGAAAACCCCAACACAACGAGCATGATTGTATCTGTAGCCAAACCAGAAGCAACGACGATACCCAGATTGAGCGCTTACCCAAAACATTTCGTTGGTCAATCAAGGTGGTGGGTCAGATCCCGCTTCTCCGCCAGGCTGGTGAGTAAACAAAGAGCGAGTGAGCAACTCTACACGATGATGACGATGATATATATATATATTTATTTTTTTATCCCATCATTGGACTCTGTCGCCTGCCCCTCTGGCCCCCATCCTCCACTTCTACTAGCTAGACGACCCACCCGGGGTCACATAGGAGGGGGGGGGGGTAGACCCCCTCCTGCGGTTCCTGCCTGAGATATTTTTATCGCGAGAAGGGTGAAGCAATCTCTTCCCTCGCGACTTATGAAGTCGATGTAGTTTACTAATAACGAGCTTTGCAGCGCGTCGCTTCCAACTTAGACCTGGAATCATTTAGTGAGAAGAAGAACTCACTTTGCTGGGACTCGAACCCATGACCTGGCCCTTAGTAGGCTGCGAGGGCACCCACTAGACCACCGGGGCGACCGGTGATATGATGCTCGTTTGTTCCCGCCGCTGCCGCCGTCACCGTCCTTCCCACCTCCGGCGACGATTGTTTCTTTCTACGGCACGACGCAGGCGAGCCCTGGGCAAGAAGGGCTGTCTGCCTTTCTCGCACGGGCTGCCCAAGGCACCGGCAAGACTGGTGTACGCCATGTCCAACGCGATACCCGTGGGCGAAAGACACGACAGGTAGGCAGAGCGTTAATTCCCACGGTCATCAGCCTTATTTTAGCAAGACAGCATACCCATGATACAGCAGTGGGGGTCCACGAATACGGCGGTGGTGGGGCAGCTGATAATCGCCGCCTGATTGAGGCAGCCGCCTTGTTCAATGTGTAGAACAACTTGATTATTTAGTCTATGCCAGCCAATTCACCCGCCTTTTATCGGCCACCGTCGCCGGGTTTCCCGATCGCGGGGACAAGCGTTATGCTGGCCCACAAGATCCCGAGAGAAATTGGCGTATTTCATGCCCTATGCGAAACGGCAGCGCCACGGTGTGGCAGGAGCATCTACCCAACCCAGACTAACACCCTGTCCGTGCCAGGAAATATGGTTTTCTGAAGATAGGAAACCACGCGTGTATTCACTATTATTGTTCTCAGAGTCGGGTGTAGTCAAGTGATGTTACAGAGTAGTTTGTTGGGTTCACCCTCACGGCACACGGTTGGGCATGGCGGTCGTTCCGCCCCCCTTGCTTTCCCGTCCCCATGCATTCCTTATTGCATCCTCCTGCTTCCGCCGACATATTCTCAATCATTCGCCGCTGTGGGCGTGCCCCGTAAACCGTCTGAGCGCCCTCGTGGACTCCGTGGGTGTTTCTGCGTCTGTTCGCGTCCATGGCATATTTTCAATGCCCATTAGCTTGGACTACGGAGACGGTCAACTTAGCGACCGCTGGATCGAAATGATGAGCGTAGCGGGTACCCCCCCTTGTATCATTTCTCGTCCCCACTATATCTCTTCTTTTTGATCCGTGATTGCATGCTACTTTATAACTCTACGCGGGTGTTCACTGCCTGGCAGCTCCCGCTTCCTCACCCCTCCAAAGCTCCCCGCTTATCCTTTGTCTCGCTGCGGCTTTTATTCCTTTAGCAACACCCGACGGAACGTCCCGCCACTAGGGCATGGTACACTTCGTTTTTCCGCAACAATATCCGCGGAACGTTCCGCCACCAGAGCTCGCACTTCGTTCTTCGGTAGCAACAACCCACCCGTTCCTCCACATCGTTTTTCCGTATATTGAAAAACCCGCGGAACGTTCCGCCATCACCAGAGTTATTCTCGGGTTCACGGCAGACGGCGAGCACTTGGTGGTGTGCCGCGGCCCGCTGGCGCACCCCCGTCGGCTTGAGCTGCGCAGGGTGAGGCTGCAGCGGCCGGGTTTGTCCGCGCCGGGCGAGGTGAGCAAGCAGGCCTCGTCAGCGTCGGAGGGGTCCATCCATCCCATCACCAAACGGATGTACAGCGAAGTCTTCGTCGTGTGATGGTCTCCGTTCGATGATTGTTGTCGTTGTCGTTGTTGTTGTTGCTGCTGTTGTTGTTGGAGTTGTCTTCACCTTTTTTTTTTACCGTTCTTGTCTCCGCTCAGTACCTTCAAATACCCGTGCTGGTTCATCTGACGATGGAAGCGTTTTTTGTCAGTCTATGACAGCGTTGTCAACTTCTCGATGGCCGAACGTTTTTTTTTCTGACAGTCTATGGCGATAGGTGCTGTCAACTTACTAGCAGACGGCCAACTCCATGCTTTCTCGCGTGGTCATACTGACCTGCATTTCCGTGCAGGCTCTCTGGTCCCTACCCCTTAGCCTTCGGGCTCGCGGTGATCCCTACGCGGAGAACGGCTACGCTTCGTCGGCAGAAGGGGGAGAAGGGGGTTACAGCAGCGGGGAAGACATGGAAGAGGAGGACGGAGAAGAAGAGATGCTTCATGGGTCAGGAATGGACGGCATCGGGGACGAGGAGCCTGCTTCCGTAGCGGTGACGGAGAGCTCGGACGGCTTCTTGGTGGTTGCTGTGGTAAGAGTCATTGTGTTTTTTTTTTGCCGTGGTTCGGGTGTTCGCTCTACTTCGTCTTTGGACATTGTCGATATCATACCCGGCCGTGGATGCCAGACGCGAAAGATGAACACCCCAGGGCAACAACAACTATGGCGCTAAGCAGGAACACAAGCTCGCGTGGCGAGGACAGACTGCAGTGTGCGTCCTTCAACATTCTCGACGTGTCGCGGGTTGGCCGATGCAACATTGGCGCGGGGTCGATGTCGCTACGTCGCTACATTCTGGTAAACGCTGCAAACCCCTCCGCACACACGCACAGGTGTCTCGGGTCGAGATGCAGGAGGACGAGGACAGGGTGTACCACGTTTTCGTCGCACCGGGCCCCTCCTACCTGGCCGCCGTTAACGCCTCTGCGGAAACACCGTTCGTCGGTGCGGCGTTCTCCTACATCGTGCCGGGGAGTGGCGGGGCTCCGGTTCCATCCATAGCGGCGCATGACGTCGGGTGTGTGGATGGCGCTGCCGGGGCGGGGGAGGAGCGGGTGTACATGATCGTGCTCAATGCTGTGGACGCCATTCGTGTGGTGGAGGTGGGGCGTGCTCTTGTGTGTTGTTGCGGGTTCGGAGCGCTTGTTCTCCACAGCAGTAGCTTGTCTCAAAAACACCGCTGCTCCTATTTCGTGCTATCGCGCAAGTGGTTGGAAACAAGCCCCTCATTACCGTATGTGACACAAGATAGCACCCACAGAGAGGATAGCGCACACTTCCAAACGAGAACCACACCCAGTGGAAATAGCTCTGCATGAGTGAACGAAACATACGTTTACTCTCAGACCAAGAAATACACAGGGACACGCAATACCACACGCCCACACAACGCGCCCGGTGAGATTTGCTTTAGAAGCCAGAACAGTTTCACAAGGGCGAGTTTTCGTGCGTTACATTCGGTACCCGAAGCCATGATGGCGTCTTATCCGCCCCACTTACCCCGCGCCGCCCTTCTTCCCCGCTACGTTTGCTCGCAAGGTGAGGCTACACACGGAGGGCGCGGGGCAGGCTTCTCCACCCCCACCCCCACCTTCAATTTCGCCAGGAGGCGGCAGGTGCCCGGCGCGTGTTCCCGTTGGAGGCCGTAGGTCGCCACCTCTTCCGTTCGACACAACGTTCACGATACGGCCCCCGGAACTCCTTCAGGCAAGTAGCAAATCGCGCGGCGATGGTGCCGGCGGAAGAGCCGGCGGTGGCGGTGGCGATGCTGGCGGCAGTGCCAGCGTTGACGGTGGCAGTAGCAGCAGCTCTGCTGACCCTATGTCGCTGTGGTGGTCCTGTGGCCGGGACCTCCCGTCGATGCCCCTCGTCGGCACCCACCGGGTGTTCCCCTTCCGTCGAAGAGGGCCGGCGACTAGCGTTCCAGCCGCTGCAGCGGAGCCAGCACTGGCGGCGACGGCCCGAGGTGCCGGGCAACTGCGGTCAAGGAGAATGGGCGGAGAAACGGCGGAACCCGCAGCAGAAACGCCTTCTGGGGGGAGTTCGATCTCACGGCCGACCGAGGGCGATGCGGAGGGGGAAGAGCTGACACGGAGAAGTGGTGGCCGGGTGAGTAGCGACAGCGGCAGCAGCAGCAGCGGTAGCGACCGGGGTTTACCGACGGGACGCGGGGGCAGTGGCAGCGACGATCGAACAGAAGCGGAACGTGTGGCGTTAGCAGGGGTGGGAGGAGCGGAGGAGGGGCGCCACCCCGCAGAACCAGCAGCAGCAGCAGCGAGTGCAGATCGAAGATTGGAAAGGAGGAGACGAGCGTGCGCGAGCAGCGACAAGAGCCGGCAGCGCGTGCTCGATCTCGAGGTGCTCATCTCGCAGCTTTTGCTACGGAGAGAGGCGTTTCCCGAGTCAAAGACGCCGGACCCATCCCCGTCACCGCCACCGCCACCGCCTTCGGAGACCAACACACGCGAGGCCAAGACGGTAGCTGCAGCGGCGGTGGAAAGCGGCGGGGTGGGGGGCGAGAGCGCGCATGCCGGCGGTGGAAGCGGGGGGGAGGCGTCCCGGGCGGAAGGTGCTGATTCCAACGGCGGTGTTGGCGAGGGCGACGCGGATGGATTTTCGGCGAGGGCCCCCTCTGTCCACGCCACGGACTACCACTGCGTGACGGCCGGCCTGAGGGATGGAGGGCGAGGAGTGAGTAGATTGTGTTGCCAAGACTTTTACCTTAAATGAGTTTTTGTATCATGTACCACACCAATGCGGATGCTACGTCAATCTCTTTATTGTCACACGTGTACGGTAGCCGGGCTCTCGTAAGCTGCCAAGGTTGATTCTGGTTTTGACCCGTACAACTTCGCAGACTCTGGTCCCCCCCCCCCCCCCCCAGCCCCCTCAAAAATATCGTTAGCGGAAGTGCTATTGGGTGGAGGTCGTGAGGTCGAACATCCAACGAGGTGGTTTTAGAGCGGCGGCATTGACCCCGAGATGCGCACATGTATAATAGGTTGTCGAGCTTCTTTCTCCAAGCGCGTTTTGCTCTCACATATCGACCTGGCCCGATAATTGTTTGGTGACGGTTGGTTGTGGTGTGTCTTTGGGTATCCCAGGGCCCCCTGATTCACCTAAAGCTTGTGCCTCTGGAGGGGGGCTTCAAGCGAAAACAAACAAAAAACCTTGTTTTGTTTTGAATAGATAGGAGGAATAGAATGGGAACCTTTCGAGTATCTCCGTGTGTTCACGACGAGCCTGTTGGCGTCATTGCTGATCGATGTCATTGGGCAAACCAGGTTTCGTCGGCATTCGCCAAGGTCTATCCCCGTCGCCTACATCTCATCCTCTCTCCAAATAATCGTCCTGCTCCTCTCCAACGTGTAATAAAGCAGGTGTTGCTCAGCTTGGTCGTCAAAGTGATGTACACCGGGTCCCGCCGGAAGAGAAAAAGGGGGGGGGGAGGGGGCGACGGAAGAGAGGAAGGAGGAGGAGGAGCAAAGACGGGGGGAGGGAGTGCCACGGGGACGAGGAACGGCAGTGGTGGCGATGCCAGTGCTGCTGTGGAGGGCCCGTTCCTTCTTAGTTACATCTTGGATCTCGACCTTGAGTGAGTGTTACTGTTTGTTGTTGTTCCTGCGGTTGTTGTCGTTGTTATGCATATTGCTTGGGAAGTTTTTGTGGTATTGTTAGAGTAGGGGTCAAAGCCTTGATCGTCGTTGTTTCAGTTGCCGTGCAAGCGGCTGGAGGCGTCGTTGGTGGTGCCGTATTAAGTTTTTAAGTTTTTTTTTTTTCGGTATAGGAGATAACCTACTTGTGGCGTGGGGGCGTATTTCGAACTACACGCAGTGGGGATAGTTGCCTTTGTGATACTGATATTTGCTAAATTTATGTACGTTGCATCGAAACACGTTCTTCATGTCGAGTCGAGTGTATTTGGAGCTTGATTAAGTAGCGGAGATACTTGCAATTGTGACGTTGATACTTGCCATGCTGCGGTGGAATTATTTTCGTGTCGTACCTCCCGGAGGACCGGACATCCCTCGCCAAAAATGACTGCATTTTCACACCTAGGTCTCAACCTTGACTGAGTACGCAGGAGGGACAAGCGTCGAGACGCCATAGGTAGTCCCGACGGAGACAAACAGCCTGCACTCATACTCACAAACGTGTTGCTTCAGTAACTGTCCATCAGGTAGTGTTGTCTGTGGTGAACAGATACGGACAGGTTCCAAGGCTGGAGGCGAGTTGGCCGTGTCGCCCGTTGGATCTTGTTATACGTCGCACGCATCGCCACGATAACCGAAGTACTGAGGTCATCTTCCTGCATTTTCTTTCACGGCGGTCTAGTTTGATTTTTTTAGGTAATCCGGTTCTTGTACAGATAGATGGCCTGTTGCGACGTCTTTTTTGTGATGTCCTTTTTCGCAAAAAGGGACAACAGACCCAAGAAACGC